AACTTAGTTTTTTTTGTAATAGTTTCAGTTTCTACAAGCTCGATTATGCGAGGCTGGCAGACTCTATACTAATGAAATTTTCGACAGTACTTTTTGACGTATTCATCTGGCTGCCTTCTCGAATAAATGCAGTTCTACCACACTTCCCACTTACACGGCAGGATAAATGCTGTAGGCAACTTTTATGAAAACGGGGGCAAGGTACGAATATTCGTTTCGTACAGTGCTGTTATTTAGCAGCAAAGTTAAAACTACAAGAAACAAAGGCAAAACAAAACCATCAAAGGACGCCAATGTATTGACAACATTACAATACGTTCGCGTGTACGACGGCACACAACTTTTGCGCCAACGTATTTGACAGTTCAACCGCGTTCTCCTCAAGCATTTCAAAAACAGTAGACCTAAGGTGTGACTAGAAGACACTGCCACATAGAGCACGCACAACAACGAGATATAGAAAATAACGCGCATAGGAAAAGCTTTAAAATATGCCCGTAATACTATGCAGTCAAAGTCAGCAAATGTTGCAAACCTTTTCATGTATACACAGAAATAATCGATCGACGAGCCCTATTTCATTACTTCTTTTTTTTTAGTCTGCGAACAGAACAATCGAAGCGCAAAACGCATCTATCTTTTACATGCGCTTTGTCATGCTGCATGTGAAAGAACTCTACGCCACCTCGGGGACACCGTCTAACGAGCTAAATACAGCTGGGCCCGTACTCATAAAACTCCTCCGACGCAAGACTATTTTCCGAACGGCCGGCATCTTAACGTCGGGCACGCTTGACAGCCATCACGTTTTGTGAATACGAGCCTTTACGCGAGGCGCGCTACAGCCAAACAGTGTATTCACCGCCAAAACTACAGGAGCGCCCAAACAAGCACACACGAGCCACAATGCGGTAAAAGCACCAAATAGACAACATTTCGAGCAATGCTACAATATAGTATGGTACATGGTCTGCTTCTACGATACGTATTCTACAGTTTAGTCGTGCCTTATGAACAATAGCGAAGACAGGCTTCTTCAACGAATGTGAGTGCCAACAAAATAAGTCTCCATTGTGTCAACATATTAAAGTTGCATTGTGTGTTGCGTGCAAGCATTGGTCGAAAGTTAGTCACTTCTCACGCGAAGACGACGTTCACATCGAGGAAGACAGACATGACAGGCGGACGCCCATGGAGCGATGGCGCATAAGTCGAACTGCGAGTTCGCTTTGTGGGCCACGCTTTGTTTTGTATTCACGTGGTGTATGCTACAGGCTAGTACATTTACGTTCACCTACAACTAAGTTATGTACATGCGCTAATAGACAGGCTACTTTGTTCTACACGGCTGCGACGCGACAAGAGACGCTTGAAAGCCGTCCGTCTGCTCGACTTGCGCGTGAGGGCTGTCTTCGAAAAATACTCGCATGTCTCTTTAGAGAAAAAAAATTAACAGGCATGTCTGAAAAAATAAACTATCGAAATAACTGCATTGCACGCCTACAACATGGTCGCGAGAACGTTGTACGGAAGCACGAGAAACACTGGCCATTTCAGCTTCGTTTTTTTCTCTCGAAACTTTCACGTCAACAATGCAGAATGCCAGTATTGACTAAAGGCAGTGTAAAATAACTTTGGGAGAGTGAAACCGGTTAGGTAACTTAAACAGGCATGCAAAATTTGGCACGGGACAGACCAAGAGACCTAATCCGGCGCAGCGCAAGCACTTAGCCTGCCGCGCTTATCGGCTCTTCACAGAGCCCCGAGCGACTGTCGTATACGTATTATTCATTATTACCAACCTGAAAAGAAGGTAATAATGCTCGGAATGGTAGTTGACTACTCAAAAAGTCTCTTTCCGGGCTATACATAGCCACCTTCACAGCATCTAAATTCGCATACACTTTCGTGAAGAACTTCGCAGTCGTGCTGCCAGAAACAACAACGATAAAGCGAAAACCGGAACAGGGCATGCTGTCATTATTTAAAGAAAATCATGGATATACGACTTTCACAATCTGACTTTTTCCGCCTCTATTTATTTTTTATTTATCATGACGAAACCGGCATTCCCTCCTTTCCAGAAAAAAATAGATAAAAAATACAGAACCAACAATATTAAAACTGTTGGAACGTGAAAAGGCAGTCTCCCACTGTGAAGATATACTTCAAGAGGCACACGCTTTAAGCAGTTTTTAAAACTGCATGGCATGCTTTGTAACACCGATTTCTAACATCAGAAATGGCGCATACAGATGCCTACTACGCACAATGCAGTCACTTTAGGAGAAAATTTGCTTTCTTTTCTCTTAAAAGTAGGGACACACCTGTTTAGAACTGACAAAGACTGAGCGTCAAGTAACTTCAGTATGTGCATTATAACCGTCCATCTTACTATACAGCGCCTTATTTTACGATAGGCATAGGATATGCGCTTTTTTGTGATAGTGATGGAAGCACGCTATGTTGGACTGCTTCGATTTGTATAGCTTGTTCGCCTAATGTGAGATATTCTTGCGTATTAAACGCTGCAACCACTATTTGACGCAACAAACAAAAGCGCAATCTTTCGGTCAATAATGAAGTTAGGCGTAGCTGTGCTGGCCAAGTAAGATGGCCATTACTGCACTTGTTTACATAAGAAAAAAAAAGAAAGAAAGACCCAGAAACCTTAAGGAAACAAGCGGCTAGATTCGCCTAAGGAGTGCGATGTAGAATGTACATGCTGAATGAAGCTGCACGCATATATACGAGTACGCATTGTTTAGATATGTGTAGTCGCATTGTCTTACCACATGACGTTCTTGCAATGCTAAATGACTGATATGACAATGCATCGGCAAAAAGGTTGGAGATCACTTAGACTCACTGAAGAAATATATTTTGCTCTGAAGACTCACTGAAACTCAGGCTCATAAAAAAATTCCTCAGCACGACTCAATCGAATTCAAATTACCTGCTCACTCGAACTCACTCAGACTGACGGCCCGATCCGAGTCTGACCGAGTCCGAGTGAGTTGACTGATAAGCGAGTTTGCCGACCTGTAGTAACTGCAGGTCTATCTTCAACTATGAAACAACAGTTACCCGTAGGCTTTTAGCGTGAGTTTTACTTGTTTCACCTACGGGAATAAGCTCACCAGCTTTACAAGCATTTTGTTTAGCAGATTCAGAAGCAAGGCCGCATGCGTAAGAAAAACGCCTCATCCGTACAAATTTAGTAGAGCTTTACTTGAAGTGCTGACTTAAAAAGAAAACCCTACAGCAATCAGCTCACACACGTTGTTGGGCCAGCTGTCAAAGCTGCCACTAACTCAGCATTTCCTAGTGTCATACCAGAAGAGCACATGGCTAAAAATAGTACCCACTGAAAAACACGGGACGAATTAACTGAAGCGTATGTTTGCATTTAAGGATTAGTGTGAGAGAGGAAGCTAGACGAAAATGCCTTCAATTAGGCTACCTCAATTATGCCTTGAGCGCTGCCTTATAGAACGCAGTTTAATGCGTGTTCGTCTAATGAAGCAGTTTACATGCATTTATTTGCACTATGCCGACACAGTCAGGCATCTAAGCAGTCGACAACTGAGTGGCTGCCAGAGCTTCGGCGCGAGACAGGTTTCTGACAAAAATAATATCTCCGCCACTTGTAAGCTCTTAGAGCTCGTTGACTGAAAGAGTTTTTCTTTTTGTCATGCGAGCAGACCAGCAGCCCTGAAGTCCTAGACAGCTTAGAGCGACTAACCTTTTTCTTAGTTTGCTACAGCTACAGTCTCAAAACTCACAATATTTCAACAGCAACCATTACATGTGCGAGCACAGGTGGAATGGAAACAACGGTATGCAGGGAGAACTAACTCTTTCCTCGGCAATTGCCGTAACAGTACGCCTTATAATACACCCAAGTCCACATAGTGCATTTCGGCATCGGTAAAGCCTCATAGCACGCTCATTCTGCCATGGCATTTACGCGAAGCACTGGGATCCAAGGTTTCGTCTCCACCATCGCTCATATAAAAAATTCCCGAGGTAGAAATTCACACGTCAGTTTCGACCCATTGGTTTTTTTCCATGCGCACCGCCATTTTGCGAGAAATATATGTGGTCGTACACACCGCTTCCCCTAAAGCTGTAGCTATTATTTGAGGATGGAGGCGGAAATGTTGTAGGCCCGTCTGCTCAGATATGGGTGCACGTTAAAGAACGCCAGGTGGTCGAAAATTCTGGAGCCCTCCACTACGGCGTCTCTCATAATCATATGGTAGTTTTGGGACGTTAAACCCCACATATCAGCTATTATTTGAGGGAGGCTGCAGCAGTCTTAAAATGCTTCAGTAAGCCATGTACTTGACGCGTGACAAGATTTGCTATTTTTTTTTTACATTCAGTCTCATTAGAAAGCACTGGCCATATAAAATATTCATGTTCAAAGAGCTATTCATGTCAGACGTGCGTGCTTTGAAGGAGACTACTGCCCTGCGGCCACGAAGAGGAGCGGAAACAGCGGATTGCAGAAGAATAAAATGTACTGGGCGTGTACTAGACAGTGAATTCAGCTGCTCTTTCTTCAAGTATTTTGCATATATATTGATGTGGTTCCATTATAGAAAAACAGACCCTCCAGCATACTCCTTAATCCTAATTTCATCCCTTAAGATTTGAGGAGTTTCATTTAACAGAAAGAACGGCCGCGGGCACACAATGAACCACAGTGAACTACACCGACGGTGTTCTGGGTCTGACGGTGAACGGCTCCTCTCATTGTTGTTTGGAAAAGTGACGGTAGTTTGTTATTTAAAATATCAATTTCTGCAGATCGAGAATGAATGAGCCAAGACAAAGAAAGAAGAAAAAGAATAGTGCGGACGAACAAAGACCACATCGCGCCGCGATCACTATCGGCTGCGGACGAAGGCGTAAGCTGGTGAACTATGATAAAAGGACACATAACCTTAAAATACCTAGCAAGTCAATAAGCTTATGTGATTGACACTCTACTATACATGAGCAGTGCAACAGAACACTCCTTTAATGCGTGTGTGGCACCAAACTTGGAGATGTCCCCTAGTTGCACAAGTGAATGACTGCTCGCGCGTGTTGCCGGACTCGGTGGATGACTTTGCACAGCTGTGATAGGCGCACTGTATTCATTTTGGGGGTCTTCTAAAAGGAACCATATGGCGGAAACAAGCTATAACAAACAATAGATGCCTCGCTGCCAGTTCCGAGCTCCTCTCGTCGTTCAAGAGAGGTAAAGTGCAGCCGCTGCTTAGATGTGCTCGGCAGCTATGATGGGCTGCAGGTCCGTGGTGTCCACGCCTTTCTCAAAGGTGTCATGGCTTGAACCCGCCGGCGAGTCATCGTGAGACTTGTCCACACCCTGCACACATAAGCCAAGGTTGGTTTAATGGATACCTGAGCAATCAGAAAATTCAGTACCATAGCCTTGATGACAGCTTTGAAAGAAAACAGTTGTTCATTGTTTACTTTGTTACTTAGAAGAACTATGTCTTTCTTTCACAGCGTACAAAAAGAAGATATGTGCTAGAAATATGTATGTTTTTCAGTATTTTGTGCACTTATTATTTCTGAACTTACCATATTTGCGGGCATAATTTGCGCCTCCGCATATTTTGCGCACGCCTAATATTTTGCCAGCTTTTCGGGAAAAAAAAATTACTCACATAATTCGCACTACCCGGCCCACCCGAGCAGGCTCGCGGGTGCGCGCACCTTTAGACCTTTCGATTCTTCGGCCGGGTGCGCGCCTCGCCGAGCAGACGAGCGCAGTCAAACAGGCTGCCAGTGCAAAGTCCCTGCTTCCGAGGACTTCCCCGAACAAGGGTCCCTACAATACCACATTCCAACATCGGTTGACGGGTCGTCGGTCGGAACTGTTCGACCGTTTGCCTCCCCCTATCCCCAATCTCTACCACCGCGATAATGGCGAGAATGCGCACTCACGTCACGGCACAGACGACTTTCTGCATCGCAGGTGCGCGAGGGCCTGTCGCACCAACTGTTCCCATCGTTCTCTTCGTCCGCACTGCAACGCACGCTTGGTCATTTCCTGAAGGTAAAGTTTCGCCATCTGGCCGACGCGTTTTGATGGTTTCCTTGCGATGTGCTGCAGTAATTATAAATACGGCGAAATGGAAGTCCGCTGCTGTGAATTTCGCAGAGGAAAACGGAAAGCGTGCCGCCACAAAGCACTTCAAGGGGGCGTACTTCAACTTGGCGACCGGCGTGATCGGTACGCTGGCAGAAAAGTGCACTCTTCTAATTCAAGTTTCTTGCCATTGAATGAGGCCCTTTGAATTATGTGCGGGACGCTTAGATATTCCGGTAACTCCACGTCGTGAGGCCTAGTTGCTCCCATCATTGTCGAAAAAGATTCAAGAAAATAGAATGATTCCCAATCGGACTTCACGATCATTGATTCCCGCTAGTGCACGCGTGACAAGATCTGTCTGGGTAAAGTACGTGCTATTTTTTTTAGAATTAACAAGTACACTTCGTTTGTGCTCCAATTTATATCTTCTTTGTTTATAAATGTACATACTCTGAGCGTTAGGACTATGGCACAATATTTCGTATGCGCTGACGAAATCGTCGCGTAATTTGCGCACCCCCTTCTCGAGGCCTCAAAATCGGGAAACAAAGTGTTCAAAATATGCGAGTAATTACGGTGTTATCTTCATAACTTTACGTGTTTTTTTAGTATTCCTATACTTTACCTTTTGCGGAATTCAGCAAGTGTTTGTAACTGTCCCCTCTGCTCTTGTATGTTTTCATTATGTTTTGTGATTGTAGTTATGTATCACATCGGAAGAACAAAAGCTGGCGCCAGTAAAGTCACCAACGTTTCTTATATATATAAATACAAAGTAGAACCGTTGCTGCAGCCAGTACTCTCTTGGTTAGAAAAGTTGTTGCCTCTTCCGATCTATTATTTGGTGTTGTCAAAAGAAAAAAAAAAAGTAGGCCGACTGGATTGAAGCCTTCGACGCTGTTTCCTTATTGTCATTTGAATGTCTGAGTGGAACACATGAATTTCATAGCTCGGAAGAAAATTCAGTTCAGCAGGTATCTTGTGATTCAGTGTTAGTAGCGGCGTAAGGGACCAGTACGAACAAAGCTAGACGACAAACGTCTCACTGGGGACATGAAACAAAGCCCTTCGTGTAAAAATGGCATGTTTTCACAAATAACTCTGTTTCATCTTTTGCGTCACCGCGTTTGCTGTCTGACTCTCGTTAGTTTTGTCTCTTAGCTCACTAACATGAACTTCATAACTCCTTACAGGAGAACCTATACAAACATGCAGTAACTAAGAGTTCATCTTGAAGGCCCTGCATGGGGCCAAGAAAGTTTTTTGAAGTGGGACAGCCTTGCTTTAGTTGTGTGTACCGAAGTGCAGCATGCAACGCGGATAAGTTGATTGAACTGTTTAAACAACAGGTCACTTGATTCGAGCGGCAGTATATAAGCTGACTGAGGCACTTAGGCTGACTGTCGTATTCCGCGAGAGAATGAACGCATGGAAACTGCAAAAGGGGAAGTGCAACTGACGGCGCAAGCAGCGCTAAGATGCGGAGTCCAATTATCGTCTTCCGGTTCGTGGTGTACAGAGCATGAAGGAAGCATTTCAAACAGCGAGAACCAATCGATTGACCTCGTCGGTAAGGTCGCTGCTTGAATGGGCGCCGTTGGAGCCGTGGTTGGCGCACTCGACGACAATGGAGGCCCAGTCGTCGCTGCGGCAGTCTGAAGCCACGCTGGCCGCTTCCTCGCAGCCGCCATCATTGTTCGGAGACGCCATGGCCTGGTCTGACTGCAAGCTCTTCGGGTCATGCTCGTCCTGCAGAAATCAATCCCAGAGTCACTTCAACACACTAACTAGGCTTCCACTGCCACCCATAAATGATCTCGTAGTTATGGGGTAATGCTAATGATTCTACCCCATCGTCATAACGACAACATCCTCTTCTGGTTGAGAGTGTATTGCATGCGCACGCATTATGCTTTCATGACAATTAAGCGCACCGTTCACACACTGCTCTTATGTAACGATGTAAGGGCCGATTCGGATATGTAAATAAACTTAACGTAAACATGTTCTCGTCCACAGCCATCTATGTTTTATCAACGTGGTTTAGGCAAAAGTGAAAGCCGGGAAACAAATGAATTTGTTTAGTTCTACCCAGCAACATTCACACCAAACTGATACAATTGCGCACCTACAAATATTTCCGGGTGATGGCGTGCATGAAACTGTGTGCCAGAAAAAAATAAAGAAAAATGAAGGAAGAAGAGAGGGTAGGTGGAGCGCAGTTAAGTTGAATACAAATTCAAATTTAAATCTGAATTTTATTTTCACGTTGACCAATGCCCAATACGGCAATGGTCATGCGAAAATAGGGGATCAGAGATAAAGCTGCACTTGTGCAGCTAGTACCCCGTAGTGCAGCAGTGACTGTTCGAAACATATTGGTATCAAAATAATATTGTCCAAATTGTTGTAACGAAAAAAAATAGCAAACAGCAAGACAGATTAACAAAAACAACTGTATATAATGAAAAAAAAAACGTGAACGCTACAAACTACTGCTAAATATACAAATGAACTACTGCTAAAAACTACTAAGGAATCATAAGTTGCTTCATTCATTCATATATAGACATACATTACAAAAAGAGATCCAGCAAGTTTTTGTTAGTACTATTCTTAACACATCGATATTTTTTTGTATACTTAATTTAGGGTGAATGCGAGTACCTAATCAAGTTTTTCTTCCATATAACGAGTACGCGTGACAGAACGTGGTATGCAGGCTGATACCTGAAATGACAGAAACATTTATCTGCTCGAAGATTTGCTATTGCGTCACATAGTTTTATTCTTCCTAATATAGCATTTTTATATGTTCTTAGTTGTTTATGTTTGTATATGTTGTGAATATTCATGATTTTTATGTTTTTGGAATAAAGGGTCTGTGTGTTCTAGATACGAGGAGTCTTCTATTGCACGTAGCGCTTTTTTTTTGGACCAAAAATATTTGCTGGAAGTTTGATAATGTCGTGTTTCCCCATATTAGTGTACAATAATATAGGCGTGAGTTAAAAGGTGCCAAATATAATGTTCTTTTAATGCGAACAAAACACGAATTGTCTCTTGCGGTGGCCCTAAATACGCACACGAGAAGCCGACTGCAGAAATATGAAAGAAAAGCAGCTGACTTTGTTGGTGGAAGTTGCTCACCGCAACTGGTGAGTAACTAAGATTTATTCACCCGGCACCAAGGCCCTTACTCACATACCAGCATTATATTTATTTCTCGTTTGCCTCATCAGTGGTAAAGGTCACCAGTGGTAAAGGTCATCAGTGGTAAAGGTCACTTTGATATATTTAGGGTAAACTGTAAGGTTGGTTTGGGAATATGGGCCTATGTTTTAATAGGCACATCAAAGACACAAAAGCGACAAGGAAAACGACATACAAGGATAATGCTGCGTTCTGAGTATGGCCTTTGCTTCTCGGCTGAACTTATTGTCCTTACTTGATAAGTATTGCTCGTGCTGGAATCATGGGGGAATCTGGCATGCAAGAGACATGCTTGTAAATGTACGCATGCGCGCACGCATACGCGCGTGAACGCTCATACACGCATGCACGCGCAGCTAGAAGCCACCTACGCGCTCGCACATGGCTTCCAGCTAAAACCCAGGGACCATTTGCTAAAACGTGTGGGTGTTGCTAACAGCTTTCACGAGAAATAGTAGCACTTGTCCTGGCATCTTCTTATTGTGCCAATTGCGCTCAATACATAAATTACTCCTTTGATATAACACTCTGCTGTCAGCGCTGTGAAATACTTGATATGACATGCGTCGCCTCAGGTGTAGGCGGCGAGGGCCTTGTAAGTGGAATAAGAACCTCGACATACGCTACTACGATAACGCTTGTATTTGCTTCTGAGCTGATAAGCAAGGAGGGAAAAGTGCGTAACACCATTAAAATCCCGTGAAGGTGGCTAAATAGGTATAGATTACTGCGAACGACCTCTAAGTTTACCGCGTCTGCGGGAGAAAAAATATTAGGATTGAATTTTGGTCGACAGTTTAGCCACCGTCAATGCGTCTGATTGTGTATTAGAAAATGCAGGAATGAAAGAAAACGAAAGACTGCAGAAAAGAAGGGGAAAGAGGGGCATGTGCAGACCCAGTGTCCCGAAGAAATGCGAGTACTTTAAATATTCAGTGGAAAAACAAGAAATGAAGAGACTGAATAAATGATGTACTGAAAGCTTCGAAGAGATAAAGGCAAAGGAGATGTGAAAGGCGGATAGGTTAAACAGAAGATAAATACCCAGTCAGCTGCACTCGAAAGAAAGATTAAGGTAAAGAAAAAAGTAGAAAAAACAAACAAACAAAGAGTGGTAATCCCTGGGGTTTTACGTGTCAAAACCACTGTAAAAAATGACACTATATATATATTACATGTGATAAGCTTATGCAAGATTACTTTTCATTCTAATTGCGTTTGTCTTTCAATAGCTTTGGAACAAGCTTTCCTTTTCATTACAAGGTGTATAATGATGCAATTGTACTATGGCTGTATTATGTTATGTACTGTAACTGCCATCTGTATTTACTCCTGCGCAAAATTTTCTGTTATGTAGCGAATATCTGTTAATACTCTTATTTAAGGGATTGTATTGTACTGTATGCCACCGTCTTATGCTTCTTCCGGTGCCTGAGAGATATTGTTAAATAAATAAATAGATGAATAAATAAATAAATAAATAAATAAATAAATAAATAAATAAATGCCGTCGCAAAAGACTGTCATTGTTAGCTGTAGCTACAACGACAAAGGTCGTGTGCGATGGTTTTCTCACTGCCGCAACGCTTTCAACAATACCAATGCGGCATGGAAACTTGTTCGTGAATGAAGCAACAGTAAAAAAAGAACAGTTGTGGAGATCTAAAACCTTCTGATCGAGACGAGTATCCTGGTCGTTCCTTTAGAGGATTTGACGCGTGGGTGCCGTCATCGCGGATGCGGCTCCTTTGTAGGCTAATGCACTCGTGTGACGGCAGTTTTAGTTGACTTAATTCAGAAGCCATCCTTTGGTCTTCTGGTAGAGGCTTCAGTGATGGCTGTGGTGTGAGTTAAGTGGGAAAAGAAGCCGCCATACGAGTGCGTGCAGCTCCGGCTGCCTTCTTGCAGAGCTGAAGCGTTTCTGGAAGCTTCGCTATATGAAGGCCTTGAAGAGACAATCGTTTCCGTGCAGGCGTGCGAGGAATACGAACATTGAGAAGACTGCAGTCGCAAGCGTTGAAACGGTGTTCGTGCCCCACCGGAGGTGAGGCGCCGTGCATGGTCGCCCAGCGGCGTATAAGAAAGCCGTCTCGTGCACGCGTGCGCAGCATTTCAGTGAGCCTGTGGAGGAGACAAGCCCTGCAGCAGAGTCTTCAGCGAACCACAGATTGCTGAATGTGGATGGCAACCACTCCCCGAGTACGCCGAAATGTGTTTGTGTACTTGGGGAGGACATGGTCTGGGGAACCCCTCTCACTGCAGTCTCGGCACGTGCTCGATGGTGCAAGGTAATGTATGTGGTGGCAAGCCATCGTACAGGCGTGCCCCGAGAGAAGGCGCAACGGCGCGATGCGTTGTAATGATGATAGCCTCCGTGTGCTGGGTAAAGAAGACCCGTTGCACGCAGGAACCCGGCATCGGAGTCGATGGCGATGAAATGATTCACTGCTCCTGGGCATCATACTCCCAATTTTTCTTTTAAGCCTGTTTCACCGACAACTATGCCAGAAGGCTTGGATTACACGGGCAGTCATTCAACAGGGCTTGTTGATGAGCTAGTTGGTTCATCATTGAAAAAATAAAGATTGTATGGCGAAAAAAGAACAGAGACAATGTAAAAGATGAACTTGCCGACACGGGCGCCAACTTACACGAGTAATACACGAAAACTACGCCGATTTGCATATGATTCCTAACAAGCTAATCTTGCTACAGATGTGGAAACAGTCAATTGAACGAACATCGTGTTAATCTTACGTTGCACGCTGCCCCTTTTGCGTGTCACTCGGATGCTGGCATTATTTTACTGCTCGCGTCAGTGCAGTTTCTGGCTCATATATCGACTTTGTTTTAGTGGCTCATGATTATTTGTAGTTTCAGCTAGGTTTCAATAATTGTAATGAAATTATCTTGTTTGGCAGAACATACAAATCGGCAGTGGCGTACCAACTCTTTCGCGCATGGGCCTGGGGGGGGGGGGGGGGGGGGAGGGCTGGCTGATTTGCCTCACTCAATATATATTCTCACCGCGGCAATGTTAGCAAACGGCTGCTGCATTTCCGATGGAGGTGGAAATGCCGTAGGCCCGTGTGCTCAGATTTGGGTGCACGTTAAAAAACCCCAGGTGGTCGACATTTTTGGAGTCCTTTACTACGGCGTCTCTCATAATCATATGGTAGTTTTGGAACATTAAATCCCACATATCAATCACCTTCCATGTCCCTTAGTGCATACATCTGGCATACATCACAAGTTTCCTCTTCACCGCTTTGACGCTTCCCCCGTTCTTTAGAGCATGTTCAATTATCCCGACGTTGTACTTGCTTAGATCGGATATCTCACGCTAATAAATCATCTTGGACCGCTTTGTTAGTTCTATTTCGCCTGTTTGTTTGAGGCTTTCACGCTTGGACGTTTATTAATAAGGTGCTTCGTCTCCTGAAACAGCTTGCTAGTGTCCTGTCTAACTACCGTACCTCCAACTCCCATTGCACATTCCGTAATGATACTCGTCAGATTAACATTCATTGCGTCAA